GGCGGAAGAAGGCTGCAACAGACAAGAAGCTACTGGTCATCAGGTTAATTCATGCCACTAGATGGGACCCTAATTCTGTGAATACTGTGTGTTGATCAGTTGAGCACTGACCTCCACACATAAATCAAATTCACACACAAGTGTCTTCCAAGAAAAACAAAACCAACAGAAGTCCCATGGTGATCAGCAAGTGGCAACGGGGACAGAACTGTGAAATCTGGAACTCCCTAGTCACAGTCTGGTACATGGGTAATGGATATAGATTCAGTCACCCTACCTCAAGGTCTGAGGCAGTTGAGTAGTTTGGCAGCTGTATCCACAACTGCACAGCCTTTTTTAGGATCCACTCTGCTCCCCCCAAAAGGAGAAGAGGCTAGAAAAGGTGCCCTAAACATAGTCTTCCTCTCTTATGCCTGACTGGACTGTCACGTCCGGAGGGGTCACCACCCTGCGGCCAAAAAAGAAAAATGAACTTTGCAACATGGAATGTATGGACACTGTTGGACGACTCAGATAATGAACACCCCAAACGCAGGACTGCTATTATTGCAAGGGAGCTGGGACGCTTTAACATCGACATAACAGCACTTCAGGAGACCGGGAGAACAGGAGAGGGACAGCTGAAGGAAGAAAAAGAAGGCTACACCTTCTTCTGGAAGGGACTGCCTGAAGAAGAACAAAGAATACACGGAGTTGGCTTTGCTATCAGAAATGACCACTGAAGCACCTGACCGAAGCACCCATTGGCATTAACGAACAACTCTCGACTCTCAGAATTGCCCTTACCAAAATCCAGCAGGCAACCAACAGAAGTGCCTATGCACCAACACTAGAGGCTGACGAAGATATCAAAGAAAAATATTACTGTCAGATGGACACCATCCTATCAGAGATACTAAGGAGGGCAAAATCATCCTCCTGGGGGATTTTAATGCAAGAGTTGGACGAGACTTTGACCTGTGGCCAGGGACCATAGGAAAATATGGGGTTGAAAACAGCAACCCAAATGGCATCCTACTTCTCACGAAATGTGCGGAACACAGTCTCATCACCAACATGCTCTTCTGCCAGAAAAACAAGCTAAGACATCATGGAAGCAGCCCCAGTCAAAACATTGGTACCTCTTACTACTATATGATTATACGTGCCAGAGACCAATGTGCTTCTCACAAGAGCTGTGACAAGATCCTCTGCCATCAACTTCACTGTACTGGCCACATTGTCCGAATGCCCAATCACCATCTCCCAAAGCAGTTACTATACTCCCAACTCAAGAATGGAAAACGGAAGGTTGGTGGACAGGAAAAAAGATGGGCTTAAATCTAATCTTAAAAACTGGCATAGACACCAAGACTGGGAGGCCCTGACCCTAGAGCATTCTAACAGGAGGTCAGTTGTTACCAACAGTGCTGTGGAGTTCGAAGAGGCATGAATGGAGGGAAAAAGAGGAAGGCACGTCAAGCCAACCCTTCTCAAAACTGTCTTCCACCTGGAAATTGATGTGAAAGAACATGCAGATCAAGAATAGGTCTCTAGTCACCTATGGACCCACTGCCAAGGCCCTAAACTTGGAAGGCAAACATACTTGACCACAAGGGGGATCGCCTATGATGATGATGAGGGAAATAGCAAAATTAAATTAAATCACCTTCCACTTATCACTTTCTCTTCTTGGAAGGCAAGCATGGATCCTCCTTAACTGAGTCCCTTCGGGGAGAGAGGGTGGTCCAGAAATAAAGTTTATTATTATTAACTTCCTTAAATTGTTTTGCTTTCTTATTAACTAAATCAGAAGCCATGACCAATGAATGATAGTTAAAGAAAACGAGAACGCTCATCAGGTTGGTAAGGCAGGAATTGGAAAGGAGAGAGGCAGTGGCTATAATGACTTAGAATCATGTAGAACTGCTTTAATCATGAAAAGTTAACCCACATGTAGAGGGTTGTTTCTTCAGCTTACCTGTTAATTGTTAATATAGTCATTGCCTCAAGGCTCAACAGTAGAGGAGGAATCCTGAAGGAGACTATTACGCTAAATGAGTGAACTTCCTTCTCTAATTGGACATAGTTACTATATAAGCAAAGAAAATCAAATGTGTGTGGAAATAGGCCATTAGTTGTTTCAGAAAGATCAGATTAATTGTAAAGCATTTCACAGTATCTCTCTAGTATGCGTCAACCATTACTTAAGATTGCCTTGTGACTATCCCTTGAACATAAGTACAACATTCTTTTGGTTGAAATTCTATTGGGACTGAGTTGTTGTAGGTTTTTTTCGGGCTATATGGCCATGGTCTAGAGAGGCATTCTCTCCTGACGTGGGTCGCATCTATTGGGTCCCATCTATTGGGACTTTTTATGCATTTCAAAGAAAATGTCAGTTTGATTGCAAAATATATTAAGGAATGATTTCAAGTAGTTAAGACCTATGCCAAGAAAGAGAGAAAAGATGGTAAATCTGCACCAGGCCTGTATGTCCTGGCAGTTATAAAGGGCCAATATATTTTTTTACAGAATGTATGCAGGCCACTCTTCCTCCCTCCAAGAAGCAGGCAGCCATTCTCGCAGGGAAGCTTTTTGTAGGCTGCTTCCAACCCATGGGCCATATGTTACGCGTTTTACAATTTGCCAAGTAATCTGTTAAACTAGTGGTGAGACTCATACAGATATTATTGGATTGCAAGTCTCAGCAGCCTATTGTGAGGAATAATAGAAAATTGCAGTGCAACGTCTGGAGGGCGATAGGATTCTGATCCTTAACTGTTTTTGATATACACAATAGAGGGTGATATTATTTACACATATGATCTCAAATTCTTTTACTCTATGTACACACTTAGGAACACTGAACAGCTAAGTCCCAACCTACCTGAAAAGAGGCTCCTGCCTTTGTATCGCATAGTAATCTTTGATTGTGATCTATTGGACACAAAGCATTTGCAAAATCCAAATGAAGGAATGGAGAATGACATTTTCAGTGACAGTGGCATAATATTCTTTTTCCTTGGAAGCTTCACAACATTCTCTTTCTCTGAAAAGCAGACACAGTACATTCTAAAATTCTATGCTAGATTTCTTTTCTATTTAGCTAGCATTTACTGATCAAAATTTAGTTTCATGTATTTAACACATTTGTATGCTGTCCATTTCAAATTTTCAACTATATCTACATCTTGATCTTCATCTTTCCCATCCTCCTGTTGATATAGGATTGACTACTATATTGTGTTCATAGTCAAGTACTTGTACCACCTCTTCCTCTTAAAAATATTTTCAGAAACTTCACAACAACGAAGAAATCTGTCTGCATTTGACAAAACAGCTATCTTCTAAGAAACATGATGGTATTTAATACATTTGTTTGCTGAATTCAGAAAGATCCATGTAGTCTGATAGAACGTATTAAGTGGTATACCGATGTTAGATACAAGCAGCACCCCTTTTCTAATTACAATACAAATATATTAATACACACTAACAATTTAACCCTAAATAATAATTGAATAGAGAGACATGTCACTCACCTTATCGGTAGAATAACCTCATGCACATCTTAAATGTGCACCAAAATGCTCAAATGTTGCACACATTTGATTAGAATTGTAGAATTTTGTAGTCTTCTGTAAAGATGTTTCTTGTCAGGTTAAGCATTTTCTCCTCAAATTTAAATCATAATGCAGCCACAAGCCCAGGTTTCTTCATTTATCAGATAGTTGTGGGGTTCCCCTCCCTTTTTGAAATTGTTTTGTTTTACAGAAAGATTTATAAGCAGCCATTTCAAATTTGCTGTGGAGCCATGTGTAGATTCATATTATTTTTCCCCCACTGCTGCATATAGTCACCATGAAATGAAGAATCATTCAAAAAATTCCATGCATTGTTAAAAGAAGCAAACTAGATTTGCTTCTTTTAACAGTTGGTCCACATACTATATGGTAAATTGCTTTTGAAAGTTCAGAAACTTACAAAAGCATCTTAGGACTACTGAGGTCTTTGGGGAAAGGGAATGAAATTGCAGAGGAGGCAAGACATGCAAAACAGTCGACACAAAGTGTTTCTGTGGATTCCAATTCATGTCATTCCCCATTTATCCGAAACAACAAAACAAAATATAACAAAAAGAGGGGAGAAATCCTTAACATTGATTTACAGCAGGTGCCGAAAATTTGTTACTACGGATATGCCAGTTTGAATTGAAGAAAGCTACAGGCCAGCTTATAAAGGGACACAACTGCTTACTTCTAGGCCCAACCTCCTAATAAGACTTTTCTGCTGAGCACTGCTCATCATAATAAAGTATTATGATTTGTGCACAACACTGCACTGAATGTAAACAGAATAATCTTAATTTAGAATACTTTCTATATTTTTAAGATCGCTCTCAGAAGTGGTGGTTTAGAGCCAACTGAAAAAGCTGGAAGTGTATTAAAATGTAGTACTGTTAAATGCATTCCTTGAATGAGAAAATACTAGAGAACCATGTAAGGGAATAGTTCCTTAAAATTGAGAAAAATGTTACTTGAACTAGGAATAAATGCTATGTCCCAGAATGTCAACGTTTGCACAACCTTTCTAGAATACAACTTATTAAAGAGATGTGTGAAAATCATACTAACATTGTCAAAGGCAAAAACCTATATTCACTTTCATTAAATGTATTGAAAACAGATCTAGATCTATATAAAGAGAATGAATTGCCTGTCCCCACACAAAAGACTGGTAAGGTATGCCGATAAATAAAAAAAACTTCACAAATGTATATTTTTGTGGGTAACATTTACTGCACTCTATGTATATCTAATGTTCAGACAGCCATGTCTGTTGGAAGTTTCCAAAAAGTTTTGTTTTCAGTCTGCTAAATCTGAAAATGATATTTAATTTCAGCACTTCAAACAAGTTCAGTGGTAAATCCTTCATGTTTAAACAGGTTCTGGTATCACAGTTTAGTTTAAGTAGCTTAATACAGTTTAAATATCAAATGAGATCACCACAGTCTGAAGTCATATTCCAAATGAAGTGTTAAATTTTATTTGAGTTAGTTTATTGATGGTGCACAAAAACAACAGTTGATTGATCTCTTTCCAACAAAACCTAGGAAATCCTCCCCCTTGAGGTTAATTTGTAAAACTGCATTAAACTAAAAAGTTTGGGAGATCAGTATAAATTAAGTGCCCATGTTGCATATCCCCTTTACAACTCTTCAAGCAGCTTTTTTGCATTACAAATGATTAAGTGGACACTGCCAATTTTACAGAATTACGCTGACTTTTAAACAAAATCCAGATACTTCTGAATGCCACATTGTACTGTGAACAACAGTCTTACACTGGGTGATAACTTTCCATCTGTACAGTTCCCTTTTACAATGTTGGGCAACACAAAAGACATAAACTGCTTGTCCTCCTCTGAAAGTGTTTCAGCTCCCTAGTCCCAGTCACGGAAGGAAGAGGCCGAGGCAAGTTTAAATTATCCCAGAAAATTGAATAAATGGCTATATTTGGTGTCTTCAAGATGCTTCGCCTTCTGTGGGGGATGTCGGTGTGGTTGCGGAGACCAGATCTGGTTTCCGTGAAATTCTGTCCAATTCAGCTTGAACATCTGTTAAGACAGGCTTCTGGCCTATACAGGAAGGATACAACATGTAATGTTTTATGTGACACTTTCCCCTACAAGCAGTGCATATCAAGTATTCACAATCATAGAAGTCAATATGGAGTTGCTATTAAAATCTATAGCAGTATTATAAAGTGTAGTTTTAAAAGACTGTATTTAAGGGACTCCAATTCTTCCATGAAAGTGCACATGCATTGAATACCCATGACTTTTTTTAATGTAACACTCTGGAATATATTTGCAAACAGTTTCTCCAATGCATTCTCAGGTGGCACGGCCTTAGGCAATATCTACACCTTTGTCCATAATGTGTAGTGATCACAAAAACATATTGTCATAAAAAACCGTTCTATATTTAGAATATTTCATTTGCCAGAATGGGGGGGGGGGGTGGAGAGGAATACCTATAGAGGAGAACCAGCTCCCATTTATGAGGGATTTGAGGTCTGAAAGGGAGGAACTATGCAATAATAAGCTTGCAGACATAGGAAAGTGTACACCATCCTTCAGATACACCTAATGGTGCTTTCCTAGTTGTATTTCCCTACCACTTACATTGTTTCAGCAATGCCAACTTTTTCAAGGTAATGGGTAATCCCACCATTAGTTACTGTACAGCACTTATAGCAATAATTTTTTGCAGGATACGTATTTAGTAGCATTAGCTAGATTGCCTCATAGTAGGTTTAAAAGGAAAGTGTCTCTGACTTCAAGTCAGAGGAAGAAGAAAAAAAAATGTAAACATAGAATTTGTGGTGGTCAAAAGTTTGCCTGTCTCATCTACTATAAAGTTTCTACCCTGAAATCTGCTTCAGACTCTGCAATAAAAGGCTCTCATCTCATTTTCATCAATGCACAGAAGAGACAGTAAGGGAGATTTATCTTAATGCCACATTATGAAAGTAAAAACAGAATCAAATAACAGGATAGAAAGTAGGGATGTTATCTGATTGGAAATTGGGACAAAATGATACTAGTAGTCTTAAAATGCGAAGCAGAAATGATTAAGCTTGACAGTCATCCACTCGTAAATGAGAGCATTCAAATTCAATAGTCACAGACAAGATCAATATACTACAGTGAAAACCATTCCTGCTAACAATTTACAACATTAAAGTTTCAAGCAGATCCAGCTGTTCTCTCTCTGTCCTACATGTGTCTCTGTTCTAACATCATTATTTAAGATGCTATAAAACTCTCATTTGATTTTAGTGGAAGGACTTTTAAGTTCTATATAGTTTTTCATCTGCTCCAAAGTCCCGTGTGTTCAATAAGACGGTACCCCCTGCCCCTGGTAACCACAGAACGCTTGGGGGAAGGGGTGGAAAAGGATGGAACTAAAACCCTCCATTTTATCCCATTATAAAAATCTTGCATACTCATTTACCTGACTTTTTTGCAGATGTTGGCAAGCTGCCGCCGCTTCCACCACCAGTGCCTCCTACTCCTCCAGGACTACCAACACCACTAGGCCCACCAGGCGAGCCTGTCTTCTTACTTAGCAAACTGTTGAAAAAATTAGCCAGGACTCCTTCGCTTGTGGCTCCAGCTAAAAGAAAGTTTAAAACAGGTAAATAATACTAATTAATTCAATTTGGAATCTTTCAATACAAAAGAGAACTGTACACATAATTGTTGTTGTTGTTGTTGTTGTTATTCTGCTTTATCTCCCTGAAGGGGACTCAACGTGGCTTAACATGAAAGCATTAGTACACAATTTAAAATATACAAATATGCACACATGAAAACAGAATTAAATATAAACAATATTAAAAACTCAAAGTTAAAAACCATTCAACATATTCAATGCATATTCAAGTTAAAACCATAGCACCTCCTGACTTGATCTTAAAAACCTTCATCTTTAAAAGTCTACCTGAATTAAAAAGGTTTTAGACTGCCGTGGAAAGGACAGCAGAGAGGGGGCCATTCTGGCTTCCCTGGGCAGGAAGTTCCAGAGTCGAGGAGCAGCCACCGAGAAGGCCCCCTCTCTTGTTCCCACCAACTAAGCTTGAGATGGAGGTGGGACCGAGAGATGGGCCTCTCATGAAGATCTCAGGGCCTGGCTATTTTCCCATTCCAGAGGTCAGTCAATACTTCAACAGAATCACCTACAAAAGCAACAGGAAAATTCCCAAGAGCTGTCAGGAATCCATCTGGATCCATAAGCCTTCTGAGATGGACCATCTTAATCTGTTTCTCACCCCTGTGGAGGTTTGAAGTCCCAGCGAGTCCAAACCTGACCAGGTAATGATCAGTCCAAGACTGTAATAAGTTCCTCCACACCACAATCATCATCATCCCATCCTGCACAGAAAACAAGATCCAAAGTGTGTCCAGCGACATGGGTAGAACCAGATACCACTTGAGACAGGCTCATGGTTGTCATGGAGGCCATGAAGTCCTGAGCCAAACCCGATAAAGTTTTTTATACAATATAATTTAAGATCCACATGGCCAATTATATCGCATGGTTGTCTTATATACTGAACATTGAAATAACTACTTAACTATCAGATAATTTTTTACTTCTAAGAACTCATAACTAAAAGATCTTCAACTCAAATGTATCGGCCATTTCTCTAAGGATCTTGCATGAGGGTCATTTCACATACAAAGAATAAGAACGCCTATTTTCATCTAGTTAACAAGAACAATGCCCATCCTAAAGAAAAATATATATCCCATAATCTGAAAATTACAGCACTTTTCATTTGAGTATAACATTAGTAAATGTTTTGATTAGTTTAAATTTTTTCATGCCACTAAAGAAATCATCACTAATAACAGCAACCAACACACATTTGGGTATCTCAAACGTTACCCGTTTCTGGATATATCTGACTTGCCAATTTCAAAAATGTCACCAGTGTTCCCCTATCTGCTCTAGGTTCTGAGAGACATAACATATGCCATCTACCAGTCATCATCTGCTTGCCCATAAAAAATCATGATAACCATATCTAAGAAACTAGATCTGATGCAGTCTATCCAATGCAATTCTCTGAATCAGTGCCCAAATAAGCCCAAGAACAGGCCTAAAACCAAGACACCAAGGATTTTTTTTGGTTGGGCTATGTAATCTGTAGAATAATATATCAGAAGATATCTGAACAAGAAACATTTATTACTTATATACAATATGAATCAATATTTAATTTAGAAAAAAAATGGTTTTTACCTTTCATACTAGGATCAATTTTTTTGGATCCAGCAGGAATGGGCGTAACACTGGCAACATTGGACGTGACAGATCTGTTTGGTGTCCTGGGAGATCCTCCAGGAACTCTGGGTGAGGTATCCTACATAGGAAGTTGAAATAGTGAGGACCCTTGGACACAGCTGTATAAAATCCACATTGAACTGGATTAAATGGGAATGTGGACTCAGATATTCTGAATTATATGGCTGTGTGAAAGGGCCCTGAGCTTCCAAAGAATATAGAAGGGGAATCTAAGAACTTTCTTTACGCAAAGTGTCATAGGAAGCTAAGTTTAAATTGAAAGGTGATTGGGTAATAAGACATATATTTACAGATTATGCCCTTTACAAAATCAGCAACATACATATGTTTAAAAGAAAATTTACTCTGCGTTGCCACATAAATCCCAGTTCATCAGCCAGAACTCATGCTATCCACATAATGAAAAATAATTCCTCCTTTGTGCTACATGGCACAGCTTTTAGCAAGCTTTTGAAAACAACTTTGCTTAGATTTTTCTTTTAAATTTAAGAACATAAGAACAGCCATGCTAGATCAGACAAAAGACTTATTTATTCCAATGTTCTGTTGTCATAAACAGCCAATTAATTGCCTGTAGCAGTGGTTCCCAACCTTTTTCTGGCCATGCCCCACCTAAGCATCTCTGAAATCCTGATTCCTCCCCGCTCTCTGTAACATATAATTCTTATTATTCAAAAAAAGTACTCAGATTCATGTGATGGAAGTGTAAAACGCCATTTACTTGGTTGAACCAAGCTTCCAAAGAACATGGCATCCATGAGAGAGAAAAATAAAAGAATAAAAAGACAGCTGAAGTACTGAGATACTGTTAAAATATATAAGATACTGTTAAAATATAATAATATGAAGTGATATGGGAAAATAGCAAATAAAACTTCAAAACATACAATAGAGGATTGAAATGAATAAATATAAAATAATTGTAATGGCAGCTTTTTCTGTAATGCTGTGATCATTTAAATTGAGATGAAAGTTGCCTCACTTTTCTGTACTCATGCACTCTCTAGTTCAGTTGTTCTCAACCTATGGGTCCCCAGATATTTTTCACCTACAACTCCCAGAAATCCCAGCCAGTTTACCAGCTGTGAGGATTTCTGGGAGTTGAAGACCAAAACATTTGGGGATCCACAGGATGAGAACCACTGCTCTAGTTTCTCTCACTACTCTTCTCTGTTAGCAGGCTTTCCCACTCTCCATTGTCCCCAATTGATAGCCATGTACATTCTGATTTTAGTTTTAAAAATGTTTATGTCACAATATATAGTTACATACTGTATATGAGACTCCTAGACCCATAATAAAAGCAAACAACTCAATGTTAATAACTTCATTCTCAAATTGCCACCCTCCAAAATGAAATTGCCCCCCCCCCCTTGTGGGGCATATGCTAATTTCCTTTCTTCTGAACATTTTACTTTTAAATTTATACTTTAATTCATTTTTCTGATTGGCTGTCTTAACATTTTCTATTTAGAACTATGATCTACCGAGTTCAACAAGGCCAAGTAAAGAGATACTGCAAGATTGCACTTCAAAAAAGCAACAGCATTAAGACTTTTAATGCAAGAATCAGAATTATTGGTACACTATCTGTGTGTGAGTATGTGCTTGGCTTCTGCAACCCCATGAATTTCACGGGAATACTCAGAGGTAGTACTTCACCAAAAACAAGTGACCATATTAAAACCCTTATGCTACATCAGTTTGCTATAAATCATTAATATTCAAGCAAGTATGACTAACCACTGGTCTTCCAGCTGCAGTAGGTGGCTGTTTTGCTAACAGGGACTGCCAAAAAAAAAAAAAAGGTTGTGAGTAAACATTAAAAATAAATTTAATTTGAAATAAAATTTAATTCTAGTTTTTTTAAAAAAAATTTAAATCAGTTATACCTGTTGCTTCATAAGAAATACTTGGTCATCTTCTGCTACTATCTCTTTTTCATGTACAAACTGCAATGAGGAAAAATACTTTAATAAAACTGGAACTAATATTATAGCTAATATATTGAATAATACATTGTTTAATATTTAACATTATTTATTATTTACTATTCAATAGTGTTTATGAAAGCTAGAAAAAAAATTAGAAGTGCCAACACAGGAATCCCCAAAAGAAAGCTGTACCAACTATTGTAGTGAGTTCTAGGATATTCTTGGCTGAGGCTTAATCTACACTGCCATATAAAATCCAGATTATCTGCTTTGAACTGGATTATATGAAAGGGAAGACTCATATATTTCAGTTCAAAGCAGATAATATGGATTGTCTGTTTTGATAATATGGATTATATGACAGTGTAGCTCCAGCCAGAGGCTTCTAGAAAGTGGTCCCAAATGCCTGGAGGACCAAAGATTGGGAAACACTGCTCTTGAAGAAAACTCAGAGGCTATAGGTAATATATAATGCAGGGTTAGGCATTTGTTTTGCTGTCTGTGTCCCTATTTAGAAGATTTCACCTCACTTTGAAAAAATGGCTTGTTGTGGAAACAAGGATTTGTGATAAATATTCAGTGGAGACACCTTTTCCCATCATAACTCTTTCAGGAGTGAATTTGTGGTAAATCTTAAGTGGATACCCTGTTTTCATATGATTCTGGTTCTGCATTAAGGGATTCACTTTGCCACTGCATGCTGCTTACGAGGCTTATTTTGCCCATCTCAGACTTATGGGTCTGGGTAATAAATGGATCCTTGGCTTTATCCAGAAGGATCTGGTCGTTTGCAATTTAAGTGAAGAGCCAAGATGTTTTTTATCTGGTTTCTAAATGTGAATATTGAAATACAAGACATTCCTCATTTTTCTACTGCAGCCTTGTATATAAGCATGGCCTAACTAAGAATTGCATTCAAGTATGTACGCTATCCCTTCTCAATACAGCAGAGAAACATTACAGTCCATTATGTTAAACTCACCTATAAGTTGTTTCCATTATAAAATACATTCAACAATTAATCCAAATTACGGCTTGAACCAAGCTAATGTTTATTATCTTCTTGCAATCTACAACTCTCATACATCTAAATGTGTGATAATTCATGTTTCCAATGCCTTAATTTTTGAAGAATTTCAATTCTTATGGCCTACTCCACATACAAATTGTATCCCTTAATTTCCAGCCCTGCTTTATGAAAAACTATAAATAAAATATGGCATGCTACAGTAGTGGTTAGTCTTGAAGAGATGTAATTCTTAAATCAGATGTCTCACTGACTTCAAATGACATTTACATCCAAATACATTTGATTGCAACCCAAAAGCATTGCTAGACAGAACACAGGTTTATATGTCTGCCAAGAAGAAATTGACATTAAAATAATTTTTAATTACTGTAACGCCATTACCTTTCTCACTGGAGGCTTTGTAATAATATCCTCAAAACTATCACCAACTTTTAAAGTCTGGAAATTCTCATGTAATATTCCTATTTTCTTCTCATTGTCCCATCCGGCAGGACTGAAAACACAAAAACAGTCAAGATTTAGTTCCCTTTTTATCAAACCCCTTAATGTACAAAGGGTCACCATAATTTAAAACAGAACAAAAAATTCTCCGGAAAGTCTGGAAATGGGCATAGAGATTAAAACATGTTCCTTACATTGTATATGGGGTTTAATTTGAATTGGGAGAAACCATTCATTCAATAGAAAGAAGTTAGGTTTGGGACTGGCAGATCCTTTATCACTTTATTATACAATAGAAAAAGCTGTGAATAGATGGGAAAAGCCAAATAAGTTCTCATTTTCCTCCCACATCTCCCTTAGACAAGTGTCCTATTTCAGTGAATAGAATCCTGAACAGAAGAATACTATAGCCAGATGCTGGGATTGCAGTTAACTTAGAATGGAAAATAATGAGATAAATTCATTGCAGAAATAACCTGAATAACTTACATAAATACAGCATCTTTTTCTACAACAACAGCAGGCATGTTGAAAGGGAATCCATATAATTTCTGGACAATATATTTGTACACGAAATCAATATTCTTGTTTTCTTTTACTGAAGTGTAAATAAGTGCTGCACCATCTGAATTATTTGTTAAAGAAAATGTAAAAAGTTTTGCTTTATTATAAATAGCTTTGTGAATGCAGTATTATTTCTTCCTTTTTTTCCGGTTGCTTGAGAACTCTGGTTGAGTTCCAGTTAACTGAAAGTCTATTGTACATATTCTTACAACAAGGTTGCCAAGGTGAATCATCAGCCAAACATTTTCTAAAGAATTACATACTTCCCAGACACATCCTGACCTATTTGCTACCCTATCCTTAAAGAATGCATTATATAATAATAATTATTGATTTACTGTCACCATGTTGCTTCAGTCTTAACAAAAACACTGATTACTAAAGAATGGCAAGGGGTTTTTTCAACTTCCAATATCAATCACAATTGTGAAAAAATAACGTACCATCTCCTCCATCTTGGGCATTGCAATTCTAATATTTCCTTCTGTGAATAAAGAGGTGGGGGTGAAGGGGGAAGGACATTGCAATGGTATGAAGGCCTGGTTGGTAGGACAAATTAGATCTTGGAAATGTCTAAGTACAAAATGAAGGATTTTCTTAGGATCAAAATAACTCAGGGAAAGACAAAGAAATAAAGCAGAAAAGGTAGACGTCAGAAGCAGCGGCAGCAATGGCAAAACAGAGTAATTGTAGATAGAGGGGAAGGCAGGAAAAAGACTGGCCTATCATGGGCAGCTCCAAACATGGAGATATGGGAAGGTCTTTCTTTTTTCCTGCCTATCTGGAGTGGGAGAAGTTACCCAACATTGTAGGATGTTCCTTTCTTGTCTACTGGGAAATAGGTCAGGGTTTTTAAATGATTTTACACCATGATTTATTATCTTGGCTGTTCCAAAACTGCACATAGTTTTAAGTTCAAATGAAGACATGACCAAGCCAAAGTACTCTTCATTGGAATGGAGTGATTTTGCAAAGCATCCCCAGCACTTTAGAAAAAGTTAACCAGACATTTAAAATAAATTTTACTGATTAAGGATACATTGTAAACAAAACTGTCGGATGTGTGATTGAATGAAGTCAAAGTGCTCGTCTCTGTAATCGTGCTCTTTTTCCAGTAAACTAATTGCATCACACTGCAAAGAAATAAATGTTTTAAATAGTTTTTAAAGTGAATATTATATATGCATAATTTGATCATTACAATTTCAAAGCACAGATGCTATTCAAAAGTAGTGCTGTTTAGCAGTCTGCTTTTGCAGTGCAAACATTCTTAAAAGTAAATCATTATCCGTCAACTATATTCATGTGTTAGTATTTGCTAAAAGAGAGGTTACAACCACTTCTCCCAATTCAGAACCTATTCCAGGATCAATAAAATACATTTAAAACTCATCAATGTCTTAGAGGAGGCAGCCCACTTCTTACTTTACTACTTCAAAAAACGGGATCCCTTTATGCTTTTGAACCCATCTAAAATACATTTCAAAACAAGATTTAATGTTTTACATATCATTCCACCTACAATGTAGCACCTCTGAAATGTGTTAAGAGAGTTTTAGATACTCCCCACTTTGGAATTGGTTACAATGACCAGGATCCAAAAACTACTAGGAAATATGCCCAAGGACTTTAAGCATTTTCAGCACTATTTAAAAAAAATTAAATGTTCATTTTGACAAAGTCTAATACACTCTCTCATATTAACATCATCTTGGAAACTGATTTTGACTTTCTGTATACTTTCAAAAGTAGTTTTCCATGTGAGATATGTTGACAGCTTTTTTTAAAAAAAAAACAAACCTTCAAACATAAAGCCTCTTGGGGCACTGAAAATTAACTATATGATTCTTGGGATTTTAACAATTTACCACTTCACAAGGAAAAATATGAAAACAGATACAAATGAAAGAAACTCATAAACTTTTTATACAGAGTAAAAATAGTTCTAAGCTCTAACAGGTTATAATGGGCTTACAGGCAAATCTTTATTGCATAAACAGATTGATCAGCTATTCAAAATATGGAAATGATTGATAATAAAATAGGCAGAAAAAATTCTGGAACATTTAATTTGGTTATCTAGACTCTTTACCAACCCAACTTTTCTTTTTAATACATTTAACTTGCAAATATTTTTAAAAGGCTCAAAAGTTGCAGTCCTTAACTGACACACCTCATTGTTAAGTCTTACTAAACATTATGTACTTATTCCTTAATAAACATATAAAAAAAATCAATCACAACCGCACTTACATAGACCAAAAGCAACATCAATGTAGTAACTGAAATGCGTGCCTACATTGTTATATGATTTTATTTCAGAACTCTTTTAAATAGCAGTCCAAAGGCACATACTAAGGTCTCAGAAGCTCAAATGCAGGCTATAGGTTTCTTCCCTACCTAATCCTTGGGTTTTTTTTTTTGTCGCGTCAGGAGCAACCGCTCCTGTTGTGAGAGAATTGGCCGTCTGCAAGGACGTTGCCCAGGGGACGCCTGGATGATTTTTGATGTTTTATCATCCTTGTGGGAGGCTTCTCTCATGTCCCCGCATGAGGAGCTGGAGCTAATAGAGGGAGCACATCCGCCTCTCCCCGGATTCGAACCTGCGACCTGTCGGACTTCAGTCCTGCTGGCACAGGAGTTTAACCCACTGCGCCACCGGGGGCTCCCTTATGCAAATGGTTAAGAACTCAAAATCCCAGTTGACTCAGAATCTTTACAAACACTTAATTCCATCTGCAACCCAAAACTCAAAAAGCTTATCACCAAACAATATTTGTGAAGCCCATTTTATAAAATTCCTTGACAGGTTGAAGAGTATAAGATCACATTATACAAGCGATTCAACATTTAACCTGGCTTTCTAACATAGGTGATAGCATTTATATTTAACACCCTATGTGATCTGATCCTAACAAGATTGCCTTTTCCCTATTGCCCTGTTGTCATTTGGTTTTTTTTTTCTAGACTACAGCAATTCTGTTTTAAGATCTGACAAGTAGGAACACATAGATGAACATTTCCAGAAAGTGATATCAATGTAATTTATAAGTAATAAGGAGTTGAGCAGATTCTGAAATAGTGCTAACATCAGAATTGAAACTATTAAAATAAATGTCTGAACTTTTTTTGTTGAAATAGTTTAACGCTCAACAAAGTGAAAAATGTTCATGCTAATGAACAATTAATATGAACTCCAACAAAAAAAAATCCTAAGTAGTTTAACCACATTGTAGATCTTTTAATACGAGTAAAAGAATCTGAAATATGAGACAAACCTTTGTACAAACTACTACTACAGGAATGCCTAAGTTACATGTTAGTGTATCTGCACCCAGTGGTAAAATGACGCTATCATCTTTATCTTCTTGTGATGAAGTATTTCTCCTCTGTGGAGAAGCTGGAAAGTCTTCTCCTGGTTCTGTGTATTCTTGGAAGTCTCTTACCACTGAAATAAAGGCAGAAGAAAAGGTGGATAAGGTTTCTTTCACTGGAAATTACTTTGCTCCTGTAAGAGCTTATATTCATATTAACTAAAATGTGAGTGATTTATCTTTGCTCAGCCGTGTCAAACTAGATCAGTGGTTCTCAACCTGTGGGTCCACAGATGTTTTGGTTTTCAACTTCCAGAAATCCTAACAGCAGATAAACAGACTGGGATTTCTGGGAGTTGTAGGCCAAAACACTTGGGGACCCACAGGTTAAGAACCACTGAACTAGATTCTTCTAAGCCCCTGGTTCCCAACATGGGCGCATACTCCACAGGGAGGCAATTTGATTTTTAAGGGGGGAATTCGGGAATGAGATATGAACAGTGATTTTTTTGCATTTCTTATGGTTCTAGGAGCCTCATATACAATATGTAAATATATATTGTGACACACATTTTTAAAATTAAAATCTTACCATATACTTTTTATTTTATCTCAGAATCTAAGCCTACAAAGTATCTTAAACTGAGATACAAGAAAAAAAATTAAGAAACCTTCTTTCCAATAGGTACGTATTTATGAAATATATAAAACACTCTTACAGACTATACAATATTGACAGCAAAACAAAAAACAAAAACAAAACTAGCCACTCTCTGGGTCAAGATGCAAATTAGAATCAAAGTTCAGTACAGTCTCGCTTATCCAACCTTCACTCATTTAATGTTCTGTATTATCCAAAGCATTCTGCCTCCCGCCCGGATCCGATGTTTTGGTGCTAAATTCGGAAATACATAACGTTACCGTGTATTGCACTGCTTTTTCTGTCAATTTGTTGTAAAACATGATGTTTTGGTGCTTAATTTGTAACATCATAATGTAATTTGACGTTTAATAGGCTTTTCCTTAATCCCTCCTTATTATCCAACCTTTTCGCTTATCCAACAATCTGCCACCCTGTTTATGTTGGATAAGCGAGACTCTAGTGTACTATTTTTAAAGCAACTTTGGAAAGCTACAATTTGAAGCCGAAAAATGGCAGAGAAATGATTCCTTTGCGTATCCCCTAATTCCTTCATTCTCCCATCACCTCCTTCTAACAATTATTTTCTTTTGGGAAAGAGAGAAAACACATCGAGCACATAATGTGTACAACATTATTCACTTTTTGAGTTACCTATTTCAGCCATCATGATTTTCATTCTAAGACTCTTTTCAGTGGTTAAGGACATTTTTCCACCAGCGTTTGAGAATGGAGGCTATTATCTGCCAATCATCTGAGTTGCTCCTGCAGAATTCTGGGAAATGTAGTTCAGGGCAGAGCTTTTGGACTTCTCAGCTAGAGAGATCCTCAGCTTCCCTAACATTTCTTAGAATTCTGTAGAGCAGATCGAACAAATAGCCTCCCTTCTATAACTGGAGGGAAAATGCTTCAAGACTCTGTTCTGACATCAGCTACAATATCCACTGAATTTTAGTGTTTCTATACCCTTTTTTAGGAGGAAGCTTCTGTACCAATATTACTAAGATATTAATGAGAGTCCTGTGAAAATTAAGGAACAGTGACATATACTGTACTAATCAGAAGGGTGGGCTATAATATCATACTCCCCTATAGTCCTACTGAACTCATTTCCCACAGATCTCTTACATATATCTAAAGGGAGTATGAATAACTTGCCCCTCCCTGTTTTGTTGGACTGCAAGTTCCAGCAGCCTTTTTCAGTACAGCCAATGATCAAGAATTCTAAAAGTTGCATGCTCCAACAGCATTTAGAAGCCCCCAGAATTCCTACTTTTTCTCTTTATGAGACATTTTTAAAAACTCAAATGAGGAAACACAGGTTCCATATTTTTAGAGTAGTTAATGATCCATGATCTGCAAAATTCCTTACAATGAATTCAAGAATGAGATCCTGCATTTACCACAGTACCAAGAATTCATATAGTATTGTGAAACTACAAAGTAAATGAAGAATGCACTGAAGCATTACTATGCAAAGTATTAGTTACTGTATTAGAAATGCATTTTAGTAACATGTCTTTGCAGCCATTCAGAACCTACTACACTATTTTCTCTGTAACACAGATCAAAATATTTTAGAACATGTACCTAAGAGATAAAAATTATTACAATACTTAATAAGATAAACACAATACACATTCATTATTAAAAATATGTAACTGTTCCATGTACAGACAACCTGAACTTTAAAAGATCACAAAGATTTTATAATGGACTTAGAACTCTTATTTCAAGAGGAAATATTCAACATATGCTAAAACAATATATTTTTGAGACAAATTATAAATAAAAAGCTACATACTAGATATTACAACTATGATAACAAGAATCTAAGCAGTCAACAGAAAGAATTTAATATGTTTTATAAAGTGTATAAGCATATTATACAAATATAATTAACCAACTGATTGTGACAAATATTTCCTTTCGTAAAAGGGATTATCAGTTATAGAAAACTCCTAGACTAAGCTTCGTAACATAAACAGCCTATGAGTGCAATTATACAAAGTGCAATTGAATGAGTGCAATTATACAGAGATGAATTCAGAACAAATGTGCAGACAAAGGTGTCCACTCACATCAAGTTTCTTCACTTTTACAATACTCACTCTTTTGTTCCATTTCCTTCATTTCTTCAGGAGGAATTTTTAATTTGTCGATATGCTCCCTTACAACACTTGCCCATTTTTGTAAAGAGTCTAAAGCAGTCCATGGTTTAGACATATCTACAACCAGCATGACCAAAGTGTCCTTTAATGAGATAGCTTCCATTGCAAATTTAAGAAGACCTTTATGATAGAGATCACCATCTAGTATCCAAACATTACACCTTGTTTGATCTATAACAGAAGTAAATGAAAAAAAGTTTAGGTATATTGTACTCCAGCATTACAACCAGTATTTATAAATATGCTATTAATGTGATACTGATATAAAAGTTAAAAATGCACACTGAAATACACATTAGAGGACATAATCCAGATAATGCCCACCTACCCATCAAAGGCTTCCATCAGCACCAAAGAGGAAAATGCTATATTAAGTAACTGATAACAGCATAAACCCACCACAGATGAGACAATAAACAAAACTTTCGGAAGTCTGTAGAAATATGTATGCTACGATCAGATAAGTGATTAGAAAATGTACCCCAGTTCAGATACTCCCCTTTTGCAATTTTAGAATCAACTCACATGAAACCTCTTTTTGGATGGATTGCCTGAACTCTGTCTAAGAAAGAAAAGGATAGTGCCCTGATGATCTCTCCTGCCAAGATAATCTGACATACAAGCTCTTGTCAATTATAGTTATTCTTTTTGGTTGGATGTACTACTATTAATTTTGTATTTGCATTTAAACGTACGTGTTTTATTTTACATTATACAGGTGTGACATGTAATTTGACTGACAGCTAGTACTGTTGATGCTTACATGCTCTTGCTGTTCCCCCAAAAACCTTAATATTCAATGTTGGAAAGATAAACATTCACCATCTATCTATCATTCTATGATAGTAAAACTTTACTGTCTCCGCTATGCAGGAACATGGATTTTGCAGATTTCCAACTTCAAAAAAAATTATTCCATCTCCCAGTTTCATTTTTTCTATTTTTCTTTGTAAACAGATTTGAAAAATCCAATTTAAAATAAATAAAAAATGGTGAGGGAGATTGTTGAAAAAAAGGGGGGGAACCGGAGGCAGAAGTTCAGAAACAAAACAATACAAAATAGGCAAAACGGAAACAAGTGAAAATGTCAGGCAATTTTAACTGGTACGTATAAAATACCGAGACAATCAACAACTTAAAGGTTTTACTCCTCCCATATCTGAACTGATACTTACCATCTCTGTCTTCATCATGTACATTTAAGTACAAGTACTCCATTCCTCTTCCTTTCTTGTATTCCTCAATTCCCTGAAGTTTTCCAATTAAACTGGTTTTACCAGCGCCATCTTCTCCTAGAAATATTGTAAAAGACAGTCTAATTAATATTGCAGCATAATATATTTTTCTTGAACTTGTGAAAATTGTTTAGGCTAGAAATGGCTTAGGGCAGTTAATACCTTTAGGTGTCAGACATTATAACATACTGCATAGTACCTGTTGCTGTTTTGTGCTTTTATGTTGTTCCCAACTTATGGCAACCCTAAAGTGCCCCTCTCATGAAAATTTCTTTACAGATTTGTTCAGAGGGTATTTGCTATTTGTTTCATCTATGGCTGAGAAAGTGTGGTTTGGCCAATATAATCTAATGCTTTTCTGTGGCTGTCTGGATATTGGGTCCTTCAGAGTCCTAGCCCTATACTCAAACCCAACACCACCTTGCTGTGCTGTACAAAGAATGCTCATGTAAAGTTACATGCAATCCACATCTGAAAAACAAAGTTAAACAAAAAGCTACAAATGGTTATTCAGTCATGCAAAGAATTATGCTGCTAGAGGCAAAGGATGAGAACACACACACACAGTTCTGAACATTAGCAAACTGTACTGGCACTTTGATTTTCTTCAACTGATAAGACACTGATTCTCCACTATATCTGGGGCATCAGGCTAATTTAAATGGTACAGAATGGGCTACATTCTGTAGAGTGTTGTCCTCCAGAACAATTGTTTACTTTATTCATCAGATGAATTTCATACTTCCATATGGAAGTTAACATAAAATAATGAAAATTAATATGACACTGTAGATCGTCCTTATTCTTTCGGATCAGCGTTGCCAAACCCTGGTCTTCCAAATGTTGGAAACTTCAGCTTCCAGAATTTCTGACAGTTGGGCGATGGCTTGGGTTTCAAAGAGCTGAAGTCTGAAAAAAACTGGATGATCTCAATAACTGTTTTAGATTCACTGTTTTCTACATCTCTTTTCAACTCATCAAGAATAAAATTTGCACATTAGCTATACACAATATACTACTCTTCCATCAGATTAATTTTTTGATGATCATGCAACACAGAATTGAAGGAGAATACAGCAAGACATAATGCTCAAAGAGTAAGCAAATGGGCATATAGTGGGAAGACCTGTCGGGATTTCCAGATCATCATCTGGAGTGTAGCACTCCACATAGTGAAAAGAATTTTTAAAAAGCATTCAAAAATTGTACACAAACATATTAATGAATTATCTCTTATCGAGAATGGGTCAGGCAGAAATCAGATTATAAAACAATTGGACCTTGAACTCTGTTAAAATCTTCCAATGTTGTAATATCATTTCAAAATTATAAATGCAAAATTATAAATGCAAGAAATAAAATGAGAATGTGATGAATATTTGTCATAGAAGGGCATTGTATACTTATTTTCCCCCCAAAATGAAGTTGATGAGCATCAATCTTAACTGTTACTCAACAATATTGGCTATTTTAATTAGCTATAGTAGCAGCTATACAAGCTTTTTAACAAAGAACTCCTATGATAGCAAAGAAAATGAAGAACAAAGCACTCACTGAGAAGTACAAAATGTTTTAACACTACACATATCATTAGGCTATCTTATGCAAGTTATTATTGCATAAAGATCAAACTACTCATAAAATACTATTTTAGCTTTTAAGTACCCACTTCCCAATTCTTTTCTCTTATAAACTGCTGCTAGATGCAACAGACAATATGAAGATATGTTTCTTGACTATTTATCTCCACTGCTTATTTCTTATTTACCACACCCCTCTTCCAAGTTCTGAAGGATTATGAAGATCAGTGGAATCAAATGATGGCAAAGAGTTAAATTTCTTCATTTTAAAGGGTGTGTCAAAATGTTGGCCGCAATTTCAAAGTAGTATATTTCACAATGGCAACATGTTTCAATTGCACAAAAAGTTACAAATGGCTTAATGGGTTATCAAGTTTTCCTATGATGCGTATGGTTGCCCTGTGCTCTTACATAAACAGCCTGTACCTTCAAATTGTCGGCACCAACGATGAATGCTCTTTGGTACTGGCAGAGCAATGGCTGGAGCTAGGGCTGTTTTTGCACTGGGAGAGGCATCTAGCAGTAATCACTTGAAACTCTATGCCCCATGTTTTCAAGTGGTAAAGGTTTTACTCATGGATGAGTTATAGTTGCAAAGATTTCAAATTGAGTCCATCTTTTTGAAACACTTTTATTTTATGCTATTCTTTCACTGCTAGTTGCAACCTGCACAGAATTTTGAAGAAGTTGACCAAAGGAAACAAATATGAGAATTATAATAAATGTCTTGGCAGAGAAAACACATTAGATTCAGTCCCATTAGATTCAGATTTCTAAAGATTACAGTTATGGATGAAAAATTTAGATACACACTTATTTGGGAGACAATTTTGAGGCTCTCCCATGTGTGATGTAATCCTGTACAGCACTTCCTGAATACAGAAACCCACAAGTACTCCTGAAATAAGGGAATCAATATATAGGAAAGACATAGATGTGTGTATACATGCCTACCCACACACAGAGAGATCTCCTAGTCTCGGCCAGTTGCCAGAGTTGCATGCTATACATTAAATGCTATGAAATTTTGAAGCAACGTCATTTCCTGAAAGTCTCTTATCCCTGGTATAATTATCACATGCTCATATTTATAGCTTAGATTCCTAGAACATAGTTTTAGCAAGGTAGCTTACTCAGAGATAAACATATAAAATACACTTAATACAAAGATAACAACATTATCTGACAAAGAAATACAAAATAAAAACATAGGCCAAGCTGAAAGAAGCATCAGCAAGATAGCACCATACTTCCTTGTGTTTTCTTAATTTTGTTGTGTTACAAATTGAAACTGAAATGCATTTCTCAGTATTGTTGCTTACTATACTATAGTATTCAATGTTGGGAGAGTTTAAAATATTTTCATTCTGCTACAAAAGTTTGGTAAGCAAAAACAAACTGACACATTCAAATAAGCATGGGTGCAACCCAAAACTCACATTAAGTAGTTGAACAGAGTCCAATACCTGTGCCAAATGACCTGAAATTAAATATTTCTTTATAAACTCACACAGTTTGCTAGAGAACATACCTAAACAAATATGATGACGATTAAGGAACCATTTGACAAATCCAGGATAAAGTTGTACAGACATGCAGTTATTAACACCCCCAGAGCATCCTTAAATTCATGGTTATAAAAAGAATGTAATATAGTTAAATTGAAACTTGGCCACCAAACTCAGTGATTGTGTTGAGAATCTTAGGAAAGACCCCAAGCAGCTCTGAAGAAGCTGGAGAGATTAACAGTTGAGATGGCAGCAACTATCATCCAGATGTTCTACAAAGCTGACTTTAAAAAATAACAAAAATGGCTGAAACAAACCCATATCAAAGCCTGTTTGGAGCTTGCTAAAAAGCACATGGAAAAAGACAGAACAATATTGGGGAAGGTGATCTAATTTAACACACTCCCATTGTCCAGTTTTCTCCATTGGTCATCTACCAAGGCGACCAGAGCTATCACTATTCCATAACCAGGTCTGAAACCAGATTGAAATGGATCCAGATAATCCATTTCAACCAAAACCCCTGGAGTTGGGAAGCCACCACACATTCCAAAACCTTGCTCAAAAAAGGAAGACTGGTGGACACTGGGCAATTATTCATTATGGAGGGGTTCAGGGGTGGCTTTTTTAATGTAGGTCCCATAACTGCCTCCTTTAGGCAAGTTGGAATTCTGCCTTGTTCCAAGGAGGCATTGACCACTACCTTCTGCCAATGCCCCTCTGGCCTGTTTGATCAGTCAGGAAGGGCAAGGATCTAGAATACATGTAGTAGCTCCCACCTCCAAGCATCCTGTACACATCCTCAGGCTGCACAAATTGAAAGCTATCCATCAACACTGGACAAGCAGGAGCCACAGTTACTGTATCAATAATAAGATCCATGTCGGACAGATCTGAGTGACTTTATCTGCAAAGTGCTGCACAAATTATTCACAGTGATTTGTTGTATTGTCAGTATTTTATCTTTGAGGACTCGTATGTAATAGCCCTCTGACCACGCAAAACAGCTCAGTTGGGCAGTTCTTTGCAAATGCAATGCTAGCAGCATTGGATCCATAAACCACTCGGAACGGACCATCTTAATATTTGATAGCAAGTCAAATCTAAAACAGTATCTCACAATGAACTGTGAGAATTTTGAAAATGCTTGTGCATTTACTTATCGCTGCAGAAAAATGCCGTTTGCCCAGTAAATACAATACAAACATTCATTCTTAGAAATATTTGAACATATCATCCTATTGCTCTTCCTCAATGCTCTGCAGCTATTCTCTTTTTTCCCCAATATAGTTTCAAAGCTATGAGAAAATGAGAAGGTTGAAATTAAGCTTTTATGTAGCATCAAGCATTTTAATTGGCATGATTACTCAATATTCCTGTCCAAGAAATGTACAAGCTTAAATTCAAGTTCAATAATCATGAAGAAAGACCAAATTTTAATGGTATTGTTTTAAATATTAATCTCCCCTGGGTATACATTTTAAAAGGTTAAATATTTTAAGATATATACTCTGTGGAAGCATCTGTTATTGTTTTACCACCTGGTGCATTATTTGCTGCACAGAATAAGGTCTGCAACCTTTCTGCAATAGCGGGACAGTGGGCTCATTTGAGGCAAAATGCTATGCTGATGGCAGCAGTGCTGTTGTTGGGCCTCTTGTGTCAAACAGACATTTGCTGGGAAGTGACACTAAATGTGCCATCCAGCTATTGGACAGCAACAGTAATAAGGGGATCTAAAGGGACAATGGCAGGGGCACCACAGTTAACACATATTAGTACTGTACAGAAGGAACACAGCAAACCTTTATTAAATGTCTATCACAATGAAAACCCTATGAGGAGACAATTCCAAATGAAAGGAAGAAGATGAGACTCTCAAGCTGGAAGGCACTCAATGAGCTATTGAGATAAAGACTATTATGAGAAGAACTGTCAATAAATCGTATGAAGGTTTTTTGTTGTTTTT